ACTGGATGATTGACAGAACACGGTAACTTATCTGAGTGGTTCTGAGAGAGGTTCGACATGGTCGTATAAAAATAATAGGAAACTATCAAAGACGAGAAAGTGGCAAATCAGACGGGTGTATTTTGAGAGAAGCTGAAAATAAGGCTTTGGAGAAGTCGTCCACAGGTTCTGAGAATGGCGAATATTGAAAACTTGCAAAACAGGCATCTATTAGCAGTTCGGTACTACCTCACCTCAGTACCTGATGAGGTTCTTGTAGAAGTACCTAATCAATACTACTTGAAAGAGTCTTTGTGGGACGCAATTCCAGAATCCTTCCTTGATGATCAAGGGTAATTTTTTGATCATCAATACCATCCTGCGACAAAGGCAAATGATTAAATAATTAAATAAGCTACATATGGGGAATCGGATTTCCTGATCAGGGTATTCGAAGGGTATCATGTATGTAGTGTTCTCATTTACGCCTTTTGAATTAGCCACCAAACCATCACTACTAGTTATCAAATCGAATCGCTGGCGTGGAGGATCAGGACAGATCGGAACGAAAATGAAAACTAAAAACCGGAAATCGGAAAATGAGTGCAATTTCATTATTTCGACGTCTGACTCGACCGCTTTTCGCAGCGCTACTCCCATTTTCCAAGAAGTCACAACTCCAACGAATGATCAACATGGTGTCTCATCATCGGGGGAAGATGGCAATGCTATAAATCTTGTGGAAATATTGCTGTGGCTTGGCTAACGTCAACAAAATCCACTGGGGGCTTACGACGGCCAAGCCACTAGCAGCTCGCCGCCATAGCTAGTGTTCAGTGCAGGGTTTTTCGTCTGCAACCCTGCAGCAATCCAGCTAATTTACATTCGAACTCTGTCGTTTCCTACAGCTTTACTTAACAAAAACTAAGTTCGTCTGGTTTTCAAAGTGACAGGCGTTTAGCAGTGAAATTACTGCTGCATGAGACGACGTCTTTGAATCGGGAAATTCGAGAAAAGCCGTCGAAAAACTCAAGAACACCAGGAAAGAATCTTGCAGCGGGGTATTTACGTGACGAGCGAGCTTGTCGAGTTACGAGAATGTGTCTGTTACACACCTATCTGTCCAAGTAATTAGCAAATTAATAAATACACACATAAATAAATAAGTAAACAATGGGCAGACTATGAAGACCTGTGCGAGTCAGATTTGTACGATTTAGGTGACGATTACATGCAGAGAAATTTGATCAAATTGTGGAAGTCTAAGGACGATGGCGTACTCTTCCTGGCAGCAACTACCACAAACTACCGCAGACCCTGCTCAAAAGTTTCGGAGACATCTTGGGTGGCCCTCCTGATGACGTGTTCCCATTCAGTTATGTGAACTCTAGACTTTAAACTAAGACGAGCCGATAGAGTTCGCAAATAATCCATCCCATTGAGGCAGACAAAAGGTACTCAATAACAATAGAGTTTTTGCCGCCCATCAATCCCGATTTCTTTAGCTCCGATCCGGAATCTTTGGAGCTTTGATGTAATGGCACCCCCCACTTGGCAGTACTGTATTTCCGCATACGGACTGAACTACTTCAACTTGAGGAAATCAAAGATATGTCCCCCTTGGTCCCTGATCAGGTCAAAATTGAATGAGATAAATAGAAAGTAATCGCTGTCCTTTTTAACTTTCAGCAACGACATTCGATACCTCAGAATTTCCGATAAACTGGAATCTAGACAAATGAATACTTTTGCAGAAACTACTATATAGTAGGTACTATTGCCGCCCTTGTACTGCTGAGTAGGGTCCAACCGGGAAGAAGACTTTTGCTTCCATCTCTTGCCCGAGCAGTACCATTAGGAAGAGAAGGGTGAGCAGCCTGGCTGAATGCGATGCTCTCTTGCAATATTTGTTTATTTTTTGCTTTTAGTTGACCTAATGAAGGACCCAGGTCTGGAATGCTGTCAGTAAACATTCCTAAGAGCGCAGCTTACATTTCTACTGCGACAAAAGATGATACTTTTGACCTCATCAAAGGGAAACACCGCACTATGAGGACAGCATAAGTTCGAATCAGCTTAAACCTGGAGGTTGCTTTCATGAGCAAATCAGCCCGATCTCATTCTGCCCAATTTTAAGCCCCAACTGGGAGTATGGCTGGTTTTTTTACTTATCATCTATGAAAAATCCCCAAGAGCTCCCACTGTTAAAGAGGAGGAGCTTGTCAAACAACCATCTAGGGTCGAAGCCGCTGGGTAGATCTTGTCGCAAACATGGGGTGACTGTAACTGACTGTAACTACACCCCTTATAAAACTCCTACAGTGCTGAAAAAGAGTTGTCGGAAGAAGAACTGGACTTGTCAGCTCTCTTGAACTCTTTAACACTGACTTATTATTGAGCGGTCTGTCGTTGAGCATTGAGTCTGTTCCCTAACTGTTTAATCGTGCACCTAGTTATCGTCAGTTGTACCATTAAGCAGAAGACACAAACAAGGGACGCCGTATTCCAGTTTGTGTAAGGTTCATTTAGGAATCGATCAGTGTTTTCGTATTTCCAGTGAAATCTGCTTCCAATCAGCGAGTGCTCACCGAAAACACGGTTAGATTATACACAAACAATTCAGTGGCTCAACATTCAAGGAATAGTGAAGAGTGAGTGAAGGATTTTCCAAATAACTCTCTCAAATCCACTATTGAATAAATCTGAATGGAAACTATAATGGGCTTCTATTGACAGCCCATTGTATCTGGAATTATTAACTATCTATTGTATTACATTATTTTCATAGCCTTGCAAAACGGAATCATCTCAGTAAAACCTCTCTTTGATCTGTGCATGAACGAAATGCTCATGCCCCAGGCGGAAGTCGATCCCGAATCTGTGCTTTCCGACTACCACGCCCTTATGCACTACATTACAGAGACTTCGCGCATTGGATAAGAACACAGTGTCCCGGAAGCACTGCGGAGCTCGAAGCTCGTCTGTTACCCAATCTTGAGACCCGGCAACATAACAAAACGAATTCTTGAAATATCGAAAGTTTTCAAAATCAGTTCAGAAGCTCCGCCTACACATGATGAGATGTCAAACCTGTAAGTGGGAAAAACGATTGACAGGATCACAGAAGAAAGACGGTCAAGGTAGTGAACGCAACCTTTAATGTTGGAATATGAGATGAAATTCTTTGATTGGTACCGACTGCTTTTCCGTCGAGAAAGTTCCCCAACTACTGGAAATGAGGAAAGGGTTCTACACTACTAGTGGTATAGCGTTGGCAATCTTAAAGATCGTTACTTCAAGAGAAGAGGAAAAATAAGTCGTTATTCCAGGGAACATTCCGGAAACTGTTGAAAAAGCTTCAAATCGATTGTGTACTTCAACCTGGGCCAAACAGTCTCTGAAGCGGTGTTGTGGACGTGTTATTCTTCATAAATCACACGGCTCAACCGAATTCAAACAAACAGTGACATTTGTTGAGTTAAAAACAACACAGACTGATTGATGACATTTCATGGAGAAAGAAAAATCGGATGGAAAGGGCATCGCAATCAACTTTACTGGAATTAAGCTCAGAGACTGATGGACTGGACTCGATGGAGTACCATAGAAACGAAATTTCCGGACCCAAGTTTCCGCCGTATTACCGTACTACATTTCACACCAATAGCAGTTTGATTCAACAAGGGGATTACGGTATTACATTGAAACCCTATTCGGGTTTGTCCTTATCTGAAGAACTCAGCAAAATGCTTTCAGGGAAATGTCATCGCTCCAACGCAACGCAGACAATCCTGAGGAAACGGCAAGGGTTACTGTATTGATACCGACCATGAGGACTGAGGTGCTCAGGAAATAATCGCGGGTTTTGAGAGTTTCTTTGCAGACAAAACATCTACCGTCAGTCTTAAGATAGCTCCGTGTTCTATTATACCGACGTTCCATTTCTATTTGCCTAACGATCGACTGTCATTGTAAGTTCTTTGAAACATTTCCGTCATGGACCATCAGTCATTCAGCCAGCGACAGTGAAGAACTCGCTTGCTATGTGGGCTCGATCGGTGATCGGTGGCGCGGAAGAATGCAAAGACAGCCGAGACGTGTGCTAGATTTCACGTTCCATCACAGACACGAAGAGAAAGTACTCAAGTGCTCGAAAATGAAACAGAGCCAGTTCTGGCAGGTGCGAGTGACGAAAAAACTATTGACGCCATGGGTGAGAGGCTCAAATATCACTTAAAAATCGCTTTTGTAGTATTCGCACGACTCCCCTTTACCCGGCTCATTCTTCTCTTGAAATCCTAGTCTTGACCCTCTTTTTACCCTCCATCGATGTCACTCCATTACTTATGAAAAATGTTCATAGCAACTCCACCGCCGATGGGATCATTGAGCTTAACCCCAGGAGATCAGGTTCAGAGTCAGGTAAAAATGAGCAACAAAAAGCGAGGCCATTCCAGTAAGTACGATTCTGGCCAGTTATATGTACATCTTGCAGATCGTAGTGGGTACGGGCCAGGTTGGTAGGGCACAAGCGAGTAAAAGCACCGATTACTGTACATGTACCATGTGGGTTGCGGGAAAAAGCACTGTCATCACCATCAGGCCCCCTGCTCTTCATCAAGATACAATTCTATGCTTACCTATAGCACCCTTCGTCACTATGCCATCACGATTCTGATTGACTTAATACGACCAATACGTTTTTGATTCCGTAGCGCACCTTCGACCATACGTGTGTATATGCAGTTCATTGAATCGCCATTTTTAAATTGACGGTACCATTTTACTGCTTTTTGACGGAAATCCGGATTCCACACTGTCACTCACTCATTTTACAGTGTTTGTAGTTATCGCAAGCATTCAGAAAACAAACAAAAAGCAATTTTTCTGAAACTCCGCTCCGCATATCGTTGTTGCTTGATTAGTAGGGTACTTACACAGAACGGTAAACCAGTAGTGGACGGTAGTAGACAGTAGCATGAAACACTGATGGGATCACGGAAAGAACGTACTGACACGTATCACTTTTGTTCACCTGTAGTCTCCAAAAAATCTCCAAAAATCACTGTGGCTAACCTCTGCTGACTGTCCTGGCTAATCGTACTTTGACGACCGCTTCCGCTATCGCCTTTATTCACTGGTATATGGGCTGCATAGCGTTCATGTCGTGCATTGTTCGCATTGGNTTCTGAAACTCCGCTCCGCATATCGTTGTTGCTTGATTAGTAGGGTACTTACACAGAACGGTAAACCAGTAGTGGACGGTAGTAGACAGTAACAAGAAATCCTGATGAGACTACGATAAGAACGTACTGACATTCCGCTCTCGTTCACCAGTACTCTCCAGAAAATCTCTAAAAATCGCTAAGACTAACCTCTGCTGACTGTCCTGGCTAATCGTACTTTGACGACCGCTTCCGCTATCGCCTTTATTCACAGGTATATGGGCTGCATAACGTTCATGTCGTGCATTGTTCGCATTGGCCGCAATTGCATTAGTGAATGATGTTGTCAGTGCCGACATGCCTGAATTCATTGACAACATAAATATTTGTATACAGGAAATTGATAAACAAGAACATCAAAGCTGATCGGAAGGATACGGTAGAGTTATGCGCAGGTGGGCTCTGCCGCTAAATTTTTGAGATTACATAGCTGATCATGGATGAAAAAATTATGCTGGTCTTGAACGCGCGCGGTCGCGTAGCGGATGCCCACTCGATCTTCATAAATTACCCTAGTGTAGTTAGCGAAACGGAACTCAAGAATTCGCAAAATTGCGATTAAAAGAGTTATATCAACCATATGGAATCATTAGAAGGCCTATGGGCAACCATAGTGTCGCTATTTAACTTCACTACGACATTTTGCACGGTATGGGCTGGGGGCGTACTCAAATGATGTGAGCTCTAATAAATGAATCATTCCTGCAGTTACTACATGGAGACAAGGGTGTGGCCATTCTGTATCAATAAATGCAGCTCATTTAGTAACCATGAAACATCCTTTCCCATAGCCCACAAAAACTAGTAAGCCAGCACGAGCGTTTTTTTGCGTCCCTCATTGCAATCGATAATTACGAAGACGACATCTTGGCATATGGTCTTTTATCACTCAAAAATTGATTGGTTTGCTCGCCTAATAGTGAAAATCACCTAACTGTCACCTACCTACAAAAATTAGCTTATCTTTCTATCCTTTTCAGTTGTGAATCCACAATCAAAACCTTACTGGCACCTTGTTTTCATGGGATTTTGTTACGAGCCATTAAATTCTTACCAGCCACGAGCAGGTTTCACTTGAACACCTCTAAGCAATAGAGGTCAAGTGTAGTTTCCGGAAAATTTTCTCAACAAATAAACACGATTCTCTTTGGCAGCACCTAGACTTCCCCGGCCCAAACATGTACGACTTCTAAGATCATTTCAACTTTGAAATCAATGGAGCATTGTATTGCAATGCAGACTGCTATTGTTCTCAGATAGTGAAGGAAGGAAAAGGAAAAAGTACTGATGGAATTAATATATACTCACCATCGGATGGATTGGAGAAGCGTCGTGGGGATGGGCGGTTATCCTGAAAAAAGTAAAACTTATTGAAGGATGGAAAACACAAAATTTGAATAAAGCGACGTTTATTCACATAAAATTTCCTTGAAAATAATCAGATGATTGAAAATAAAAAAAAAATAAAATAAGAGTAGTAATGTCTGAAGATGCAAGAAAAGTTAAAAGAAAAAGAATTCATGATTATTAATAAATCAGAAATTCGAACAACTAAGGTTGCTTCACATACATAATAGAACTCAACAGACACATGAAGTTTCATTAGGGTATTCATTTATTTCTTCAAATAACTTTTATCTATTCACATTATGCATATTCTCTAACATATACACTTGTTTATTTTATCGGCACATCTCCTCTTATGAAGAAAGGAAACAAAGTGGAAACAGCTTTTAAGTGATGGAGGGATACTTAGGGTCTGAAGTCCAGCCTCTAAACCTAATAAGCCTAATAAGCCTAACCTAATGAGACCTAATAAGCCTTTGGCATGGGTGTGTCATTAGTCAATCCCGTCTTCGGAATGCGCCTCCGAATTCGTCTTTCATTCAGAAGCGTGATGGCGTTTTGAATGCGCGTTTCGGTCTCGGTAGTGTAAGGGATAAGAGCACGGTCCCCGGAGAGGACAAGTACGGGTTTGAGTCCCGTC